AATTATCTGCAATATAGAAAAGTGAACGGCAGATATACCCAAAGAGGTAATTATTTTTATTTAAACAAAAGTTTACATAATAATTAACAGGTGAGACTTATTAATATCATGCCTAGAAGTGATAAGAAAAATTCTACTTGTAGAGATTGCAATCATAAATTTACAAGACCCGCTAAACCTTGTCAACATTATAAAAGTAATAAAAATCAATGCAGACCAGATCCTGAAATTATTACTCAAGAGATATAAGCTTCAACTCCTAAGACTTTTAGTTGAAAGGAAACTACTCCTTTATCTATAGAAATTTAGTCAACTGGCTAGTAAATCCTAAGATAAAAAATAACCCAAGTATCATTAGTAAAAAAATTCCAAAAACAGATGCGGAATGGTTTGATCTAATGGAAAATTCTTCAAATAGAAGTACTTCTGGAACTAGATCATGAAAGAAAACCAAAGTTTCCCAACCAGAAGAGGATACTGAAGCTGAATCCAGCCCAACAACTCAAGCTTATAGAAAAGGATTACCATCTAGTATTGAGATGTTTAATGAAGAATATATGAAGGAATTAATTGGTGAGGAAGAACCTAGTGAAGTTGAGCGTCAAGATACTCAGAAGAATATTCACTTTGAAGAATGTCCAGTTGGAAGGGATCAAGAAAGACCACACAAAAATCGATCTTTAATGAGCAAATGGATAGGAAAAGTTCCTCATCCTAGAAACAACCCTATGTATGCTTTTATTCAACCAATATCAAATCCAGTAGAATATAAAAATATTTCATATATGCCTCAACTTATGGAGTTAATTCGTCTGAAAATAACAGAAGTTCTCCAAATAGAGCTTCATAGAAAAGACCAAATAAAATCAGCCATAGTAGAATTATGCCTGTATTTGATTACTAAAAGAAACACAGATGGAACAAGTGATAAATCATATATAGAAAATTATCAAAGAGGGAAAATGCGATCAATTCTTTTAGAAGGAGATATAGATGAACATATAACAAAAAATAGATAATTAGATTGAGGAAATATTAAAAAAGGGATCTGGTTATATTCTCGAACGAATTCTTGAAATATCTATTGAGGTATATACTTTGAAACGAGCTCTTGGAAGATCTTTCATCCCTACTCCCAAAAAGCTTGCTAATACAAAATGTACTATCAATCCAGATAATTACATTCTTATAGATCCAGAAATAAATAGACCTTCTGAAAACTGCCTTTAAGATGCAGTAGGTGTCTACTTTGCTCATCAGGATGGACATACAAATAATCTTAATCGAATTTTTAGAGCTAAGAATCTTAAACCTTACTTAGATATTGTTAAGCTAGATGGAATCCCAATGCCCACTTCCATCTGCTCACGTATATTTAATAAGATTGAGAAGATGAATCCAGATATCTCCATCAGTGTCTGTGAATGGAAAGAAGAAACAGCTACACTAAAACCTGTGATAGCTAGTAAAAACTTTAAAAGAAAATATAAAATTTGGTTATTAGCCCTTATAGATATTACTAAAAATAATGAGACAGATAAGTATGGACAAAAGAACCACTTTTTCTGGATCAAAAATCCTAGCAGATTAATATATGATGATAATGCGCATAAAGAAAAGAAATATTTATGTGATGGATTCACTATAAGCTGGCCTTCTGAAAGTCTCTAGAACATCATTTAGAATGGTGTTCAGGAATACATAAAAATGCCTCTCAATGAGTCGCAATACTAGTGAAAGGGGTCAATGATTTTGAGAAGTTCAAGAATTATGGTCGAATGATCAATTTCCTATGTGATATTATAGCTGATTTTGAGGCTGATAACAAGAAGTGTAATGAAGCATATAGTGGAAGTATGATTAAACTCGCTGAGCAGAAGGCCAATAGTTTCTGCTATCTAGTCCACTGGAGATGTATGGGATCCTTTCCTATACAGGAGAGAAAATGTTACACAGAAATTCGTTCAAAGAATTGATCAGGAGCTGGTCAAAATCAATAAGATTCTAGCTATCAAACATGAATGAATTGAGACTGAAGAAGACAAGAAAAGATTTGCTAATGCTATTAGCTATTGGATCTGTAAAAGTAAGTTTGATATAGATATAGATGAAATTGAGTGTCTAGAGAACAAAATAACCAGTCTTAAAGAGAAGTTAAAAAAGTTTAAAAAAGGTTTAGCTGAATATAATGGTATTGAAACAACTATTGATAAAGTGACTAAGATAATTGCTATTGAAAAAGCTAAAGCTAATAAGGTCTGGAATCACTGACATATCACAGGTAAGTTTCATAGATCAGCTCATAGGGATTGTAATCTTAAACTTCAAATACAGGATTGGAAGACTCCAATACCAGTCATCTTTCATAACTTCAGAGGTTATGACTCTTACTTGATATGTGAATCTGTTGGACGATTAGCTAATGCCCTTTATATTTATGTTATAGCTAAAATATTCGAGCGATACAAGTCTATAAAGATAGACTAACTTAAATATATAGATAGCATGCAGTTTATGAATAGTAGCTTGTCTAGTCTTACAAAAAATTTGGGTGATAACCACCTAATAACAAGTCAATATTTCAAAAAATTAGATTATACAGAGGAGCAATTAGCATTAGTATATCGTAAAGGATTTATTTCTATGACTATATCAATTCTCATGATTGGTTTCAGAAGATAGAACTTCCTTTCATTCATGAATTTTATAGTACTCTTAAAGATAAAATCTCACCAGATGATTACAAACACGTCCAAAAAGTATGGAAGAAATTCGGATGTAAAAATCTAGGTAAATACTATGATCTCTATCTTAAAACTGATGTACTTAGTCTAGCAGATGTCTGGACAGAGTTTCAAAAAATGTTTATGGAATATTATGAACTTGATCCCAGTCACTATGTTTCTACCTCATCACTATCCTGAGATGGAATGCTTAAGATGACAGGAGTTAAAATTGAACTTTTCACAGATATGGACATGCATAATTTTACCAAAAAAGCTAAATGTGATGGTATATCTATGGCCTGTCAACGATATTTTAAGGCCAATAATCCCAAGATGGGAGAAGCCCCAACCAACTACATATATCTCATATGTGAATGTAACAAATCTTTATGGTCATTCTATGAGTCAATATTTGCCTATCGGAAAATAACAATGGGAAACTAGTCGAGAATATTTACTAAAAAATCCAGTTATGCAGAAGAAATATCTTGAAAAGATTCTTATTACACGATCCAATGCTAAACAAGAATATTTCTTAAGTTAATTCCCATTTTCTCTTAAAAACCCATGACTATTTATCAGACTTACTTCCAGCCGTGGAAAATGTCATTTTAGAAAAGGATTGGTTATGTCCTTATAATGCTAAACTTGTAGAATAATTAGATGGTGAACGCTTTTCTGCTACAGAAAAATTAGTCCCTCATCTTAAATCACGAAAGAACTATATCATTCATTACCTAAAGCTTTAATACTATGTGGAATTAGGTATGGTTGTAGATGAAGTTTTAGAAATACTTTCCTTCGACCAGACTAACTGGCTTGAACTATATATATCTTTTAATACTAAGAAACGTAATGAGGCTAAAAAAGTTAAAAATACATTCCTGAGTGATTTTTTCAAACTTATGAATGTATCAGTATATAGCAAGACTATGGAAAATGTTTGCAAGTACCGGGATGTTAAGATTATGAAGAATAATAATAAGCGAGATGAAAAAGCTTTCTTGAATAAGGTCCGACTGCCATCTTTTAAGTATGGCAGACCACTTGGACCTACATTAGTAGGAGCGCATATGGGAAAAGCTAGCATAACTCTTAATAAGCCTATCATAGTTAAAGCATCTGTTTTTGGACTTAGCAAGCTTCACATGTATAAATTCTGGTATAGTTATTTGAAGGAAAAATATGGGGATAATGTTGAACTTGACTATATAGATACAGACTCTTACATCTTCAAAACTAAGACTGAAGATATCTACAGTCAACTCTTTTTACAACGAATTTTGATATAACGAATTTTACAATACAACGGATTTTCAGTATCAGACAGATTTTTAAATATAAAAATACCTTTACTATATCGAATTTAGTAATTAAAAATTCATATTACGTTTAACGAATTAAAGTCAGAAAAATTTATATATAAACAACTCTTTTTATAACGAATTTTCTCTATAACAAATTTTTTTTGAATATAACGAAGTTTTGCTTAAAATGAATTTTACTAGATTTATGTATATAAAATTATGTAGTTTTTAAATGAATTTAAAAAA